TGATTACATCGTTCCCAGCAAACAATCTGCTGTTGCAGCCATCATTGTTGTTTGGCGGGCCCGGGCTGGATTCGAACCCACCACCTTGGGTGTACGTGGCTGGTGCCTTAGCCATTTGAGCCATAGACGCCAAGCCAGAGACCACAATCTTACCATAAAAGGTAACAGATGCCACAGTCTGGCACAGTAAACGGTAGTGCCCTTATGGTAATAGGTTGTAGTGAAGACATCTTGGGGAGAAAGAGCTCGGAAGGCGAGTGGGACCTCCTGGCAGGCATGTCCTGCTGGAACACATCCAGTGAGCACTGATTGAACACCTACTGTGTGCCAGAATTAGTGGCGAGAAAGACACTGTTCTGATTTGTATTATTGTTCGTGAAGCTGGAGTTGGAGCTTCAGGACGCACAGAACTGGAAGGCGACCCAAGCTTCAGGATTTCCATGTCTGTGAAACAGCATTATGAATAGTCCCAACCTCCCGGGGAATTAAGTGAGAAAATCCAGGTGAGGGACTTGTATAGGGCCAGGCACTTAGTGGGCTATAAATGTTACATTTAAAAGAGTCCAAGGGCAGAAGGTATCTGGGCGGCTGCTCTGCAGGTGTCTCCTGGGTGGCTGTCTGAGAGCCCATATAGTAGAAAGCACTGGGCAGGCACTGAGCACCACCGGGGCTCATCCCAGACGCAGCTTTTCAGGAGGCTAGTGAGGCGGAGGCTTGGCTGAGGCTGAAGGCCAGAAACCTGAACGTTGGGCTGAAGTGAGCGGCAGGCACCTTTGGACCTAGCAGAGGGAGTGTCTGGGGCGGGGTTCCGGAGACGAGGGCTCCGCCCCCGATCCCAGAGACGGGGCGTGGGACTGACTAGCCCTTGTCCAGTCAGCCTGCTTCCCTGGACTGCGGGGCTGTGCGGGGGGCGGAGCCTGCTGTCCTGGCTTATCCTGGGCGCTGGTGGGCTTGTGTCTATGGCGGGACGCCTCTCCCTACTCCTCATGGGACCAGGCCAGAGTCCCTGATCCGAGGACAAGCTCCTTTCCCTTTGCTCTCTGACCCTCTTCATCCTGCTCCGCTATGTAAATGTTTCTGGGACCTTTGAGTCCCATTCCCCAGGGGGACTGAAGCAGCTGGTCTCTCCCACCGCAGGACTGAGCACACCGCAACACTAAGTAAATGCACCTTGAAGAGCGTCCAGGTGGTGCCCAGCGCTCCTCACAGCCTGAGCTGCCAGCAGCAAAAATAGTAAACAGTAGGGGGCCCTTTATTGAGCTCCTACTGGGTACCCGGCGCAACACACCCAGCGTCCCTGTGCTGCTACGATTTTCTTCCCATTTTCCAGAAGAGGAAAGGAAAGCTCCTGGAGACTCGCCACTCCTCCAAGGTTACTCCCAGACCCTGCTCTTGCTTTCTGAAACCCTCTGACCCCACCAGCCAAACATGAAAGGCGCCTATAGCTCCTCTTGTACCCTGGGACCCAGCGGTAACAGGCCTTTTTGGCACCTCTGCAGGGCCCCTCTGCCAGGCGAGCTGGCTTGGGGGCTCTGGGCTCAGCTGGGACTGTAGACCGCTCTCTCACCCCTTCTGGGGTCCGGGTTGCAGCAAGCCCCAAGGTCCCCCCAGAACCGCCCTCCCCCAGCCTGGCTTTAGGCCGGAGCTGTGGACGTGGGGGAGCAGGCAGGGAGGGGAGGCATGTCACCATATATCCCCGTCAGATTAAAAAACTAATTTGAAAAGATTAATGTATTCCATTCTCGTTACGCTGGCTCTGATACCTCTGGGCCCGCGGCCGCTCTGCCTCCTGATTATTGAATTTTTATGGCCTGGTAATTAATTGCAGATTCCCTGTTTTGTTCTATTTCTTTTTCTCTGACATTTTAATTTCAACAAAAAGCAGTGGTCTCCATGCAGGCTCTCTCTGGAGATCCTAATGGTCTATAAAACAGAATGACTTATAGATGTGGCACCCACTTCAGTTGGCGAGCGATTGTTTGAAACCTTGCTGATCACGCAAAATTTAATTTTTCCACCTCCCTCCCCCCTTTGCTACTCATTTCTTGTCTCTTGCATTGCGGCACCAGCATTTCAGCTTACGATGAAGGGAGCAAAGTGTCGCCTCAGAATCTGTTACAGGGCCTTTTCCTAGAAGCCTAACGGGCTGAAGACAAAGTGGGTTTTGATTCTTCTCTTTGGCAGTGGCCTTGGCAGTGGATGGGGGGGGGGGAGCTGGGCCTTCCTAAAGGGCCAGGAGGATGTGGACAGCTACCTCCAGGGGAAAGGGGGAGCCGGGGACCACAGTGGAGATCATTTCCACCTGTCTCAGTTGTCCTTTTGACCAAATGCTGCTGCCCAGTTAGGCACCAAGGAACCTGCAGGTTACAAGGGCAGGGAAAACGGTATTGGTACATGGCCTTTGGCCCATGCCAGGAAGTGAGGGGGCCAATTCAGACCCAGTGCACTGATGCAGATGGATGCAGCTGACCCCTCCTGTAAGGTTCCCAAGACGGGGCAGTGCAGGGGCAGAAAGGTAAGGTCATAGAATGAAATCAGGCCTTAAAAGATTGGAACCTGGATGACTCCTGGGGCTCAAAGGAGCAGGGTGCTGGCCCCATATGCCAGATCAGCCAAATGGACCACATCATTGAACTTTGTGTCTGCTCTGGCACATGGAGCACAAGTTTCAGCTGATCCTGAGTATGGATCACAGAATTTAGAGCATAAAGTGGAGCCCTCAGGACCTGAAGGGCCTCAGTGGCCAGCAGACCACCCCCAAATTGAGGTGAGGTCCGCCACCTTCCCAGGGAGGATGACACCTTTTAATTTAAGCCTTTGGGAGGCAATGCTATAATTCCAAAGGTTCTAGCAATGAGATTCAAGCCAAGTGAGCTGATGCAGACACTGACAGATGGTGACTCAGGCTTCTGGACCTTCTCAGGTGAGCTGGGGAGCATAAGGCCCACAGCCTGGTCCAACTACCTCTGTGCTGAGAAGCTGACACTGGGAATGTTTCTAGTGCCTCAGTTTCCTCATCTGGAGAGGCTGAATAGGAGAGTGACAGCCTAAACTCCAGAATCCAAAGGACTGGAGTTCAAACATTGGTTCCACCACTCAACGTAGCTGGGTGAGCTCAGAGTTTCTGAGAAACTCTAGAAAACTTGAAAATGGGATAATATTTCTGTTTTTGCATAACAGATTGCCACAGACTTAGTGAGATAATATGTGGCTTGAAACAGCACTATCTCATAGCCGTGTAGGTCAGAAGTCCGGCAAGGCACAGCTGGATTCTTTGCTCAGGGTCCCTCTAGGCTCAAGTCAAGGTTCTCCCCTGGGGCTGGGGGTCCTCTTCCAAGCTCACTAGTTGTTGGCAGAATTCAGCGTCTTCTCACAAAACCCCTCCACGTTCAAGGACGGCAAAGGCACTGTGAATCTATCTGGTGCTTCAAGTTTCTGTCTTTCTCTTTTGCATTTAAAGGATTATGTGATTACATTGGGCCACCCAGATAATCCGGGATAATCTCCCTATTTTAAGGCGAGAGATGGTTAATAACCTTGGTTACATCTGCAAAGTTCCCTTTGTCATGTAAGATAACAACCAAGGGAATAGTATTGGTGGATTGGTGGTAGAGATCATGGGGCCAACGTCCTGCCTGCCACAGCCCCCGACTTGGAATGGTAGTAAGGGACTCCCTAGTACCGCATTAACGGGCAGTGGTGGGAATGCTCCTCACAGGCGCCCTCTAGAGGAGCTAGCACTATCTCCATCGTTTCCTTGAGATCCCAGGTGTCAAGGGAACATAAAAGTGGCAGAGCTAAGATGTGAGCTTGTCTCTATCTCATTTCCTGTGAAAGCTTGTCATCTCACCACTGGATCCAAGTCCAGAGCTCCTGTTTCCTTTGGAAATTTAGTTCTCTTGGAAGGCACCCACCACGTACCAGCAATTTACACATGATGTCATTTCTTGGCTCAATTTAGGTCTTGGGGACTGGGGAGTCTCCAGTGGATGACTTACATGTGTGTTTCATGGTCTTGTCTCTTATCTGGGAATAGCCATGGCGGCAGTGTCATGGCCACTTGTGGAGGTCATCGCTTCTGCTGGACACCTTAGCTGATTTGTCAGGACTTCAGAGGGCTCTTTGGAGAACTGGCAAAGAAAGACTTCCTGCAGTTCTTATTTCTCCACATCGAGACACTGGCTACTTTTTAAATTCCTCTCCTCCTCTCACCCCCAAAACATGCTTCTCAGGCTCCCTTGCAGGC